CTAGATATCTTGTGTATACATTGACACACTAGATATTTTGTGTTTACATTGACACATTAGATATCTTGTGTTTACATTGACACATTAGATATCATGTGTTTATATTGACATACTAGATATCGTGTGTTCACATTGACACATTAGATATCGTGTGTTTACATTGACACATTAGATATCTTGTGTTTACATTGACACATTAGATATCTTGTGTTTATACTGACATACTAGATATCGTGTGTTTACATTGACACATTAAATATTGTGTGTTTACATTGACACACTAGATATCTTGTGTATACATTGACACACTAGATATCTTGTGTGTACATTGACACATCAGATATCTTGTGTTTACATTGACACATCAGATATCTTGTGTAAATATTGACACATCAGATATCTTGTGTATACATTGACACACTAGATATCTTGTGTTTACATTGACACATCATATATCTTGTGTCTACATTGACACATCACATATCTTGTGTATACATCAACATACTATTATCTTGAGTATACATTGAAATATTATGTACATCATACATACATGGACATATTAGATTAAATATTTTCTGTACTCTGTGATTCAATAATATAATGCATATCTTATACGTTCAGAAAAAAAAACATGAATTCATTGAACATGAACATCTAAAATCTTATTATATATCTTAACACTTCAAAGAGGAAACGGTTGGAAATGACCAGTTAATTACAATACTGATATGTTACCCTAGACAAGTATTCTTTTACCAAACACTACTGCCACTCTTGTAGTAAATATAACACTCATAGCTGTCTCGGAATTCTGGTCAAGGGAAGTAACTCAATTTAATATTGTAATCTTACCACTTTTGATATAGAAATCCAACAAATGTTATGCAAGTTGTGATCAAGTCCAGTATTGTATACTGCAGTCCTTAAATCTGGGTGGTGATGATTGTGATCCATCTTTCATAAAACAACAAGATTCAGCAAAGTCATATTTATTGCAAAAAGTTGAAGTCTAAGAGTGTCAGTCAAAGGGAGGTAATAAGGTTCAATATAAATATGCAGGGAATTCAATCATTGATATTACTAGGTTTGGTTAATGTAAAATCACATTTCTTATTGGATATATAAAAAGTAAACATCCAATTCTACTATACCTGAAACACCATCAGATTTCCCCAAGGTCAATATACCCCAGGTAAGCTTCAACTGGCATGATTCTTGTATCCCACATTCAAATTGCATCATTAAAATCAACATTTAGTACTAAAATTCATTTAATTGTGTGATAATTTCATCATTTAATGAGAAAATAAACACTTCATGCTATGCTGTCATTTGTTAATCTGGGGCAGATCACTTTTTTCCAACATTATACTCAAATTCCACAGTTTAACATTTCTCTGTCAGTGACAATGTTTTCAAAATTGAAAACTAAATTTTACCAAATTAAACATTTATGAGGAAAAAGCCTGATGCTGCCACTGGCTTCTTATAGAAAAGGACAAGAGGCTAAAAGGGCCTGTGTCCTAAAGAAGCATAAATATTGATAAAATTGACTGCAGCAGGAAAAGAATAAGAGATAATATTATGATGTTCTCACATAAGTGATAGGACAATGTACAATAGGTATGTCATTAAAGTTTTTGTTAAATACTCTTAAAAAATATAAAGACAATAGTAATGGTTAAGGACCAGGGATTTTGTGTGCATTTTTCAGTTTATCAATGTTGTTAATCTTTGGGCCTTTAATACAAAATGTAGCAAATATTCTTATAAACTTATAATGTTATGTTGTTTACTCATTAATGAAGGGAAAATGAAAAAAAAACAACAAAGAAAATTTATAATTGATAGGTGAATTAAGCAGTATTTATTGTCAACTGCTACACAATCTACAGCTTATTATAGATAACGAGACTGTACAAGTAAACCTGATTACCTTGAATAATTATCACCAGAATAAAAGATATTGACACTAGATAGATTCCACTCTGATGCAGAGGAAAATATCTCAATCATGAAACAGTTTCTACTGCCTGTCTGAGGGCCTCAACAAAAACCTGAAAACCTGATAAATTAGAAAAACCTTACTAACACCTACAAAGAAGTGTGATTCTTATTCTAATTCTGATTTCTAATTTGTAAATCCTGTGTTCAATGATTAATTTGTAAATCCCGTGTTCAATGGTTAATTTGTAAATCCCGTGTTCAATGATTAATTTGTAAATCCTGTGTTCAATGGTTAATTTGTAAATCCCGTGTTCAATGATTAATTTGTAAATCTCGTGTTCAATGGCTAATTTGTAAATCCTGTGTTCAATGGTTAATTTGTAAATCCTGTGTTCAATGGTTAATTTGTAAATCCTGTGTTCAATGATTAATTTGTAAATCCTGTGTTTAATGGTAAGTTTGTATATCCAGATAACAATGATAAATTTGTGTATCACTTACACTTTCAATGGTAAATTTGTAAGTCAACAAAAGATGTCTGTAGTTGATCTAAGGGTGAAGGATAATAAGATTCACCTGCCAACCAAATTTGATTGAAATCCATTCACATTTAGCAAAGTTATTAACATAGATAATTTTGCTAATCAGAAATGAAACACCTAATTCATTATGCATAAATGTCAATTAATGAAGAGCCTGGGATAACAGAATCTTGAGATGATTAGTAATGTAGTGAAAATAATGGTAAATCTTAAAAAAGCTCAGTCCTTCATGGCATGACTTGTATTCTTGTAGTACTAAAAAGTTTATATCTGATGAAGTAATACTAAATCAGCAGATATGGTTAAATTAGACAGCAATGAAAGAGGGCTGTCTCAAAAACAAAATACTGAGGTTGTCACAAAATATTGAGGGTTGTCTCAAATACAAAATATTGAGGGTTGTCTTATAAACAAAATATTGAAAATGTCATGTTAATAAATGACCAAATAACTCATTTAATAAAATTGGCCCCTACAAAACTACAAATAGTGTATTTATATGATGATTATTGATGGCACTTGTTTGAAATTATAAAATAAATTGATAAACCTATATATCTGAATAAAATGGTTGAAATGATCAGTATAATCATGATTACCAGGTATCTTGTGATATTGCCAAGTATTTTCGAGAAAATAACAAAATGTACAAAGTCAAATACATAAAGAATTTTCAATATTCATATAAAATGATATGAATTTATTAAAATATGAATGACATACTATACAAACATTTTATCATCAACAACCCTTTTCAAATACTGGGATCAGTTTTTGAATTTGAATCTAAATTTCTTAAAATCTAGTAATGAAAAACAAAGAAATTACAAAATTGTAAACTGTTCAGTGACACAAAAAAATGTGTATTTTGCAAATGTTTTCTTATAATTTTGAAAAATGACACATACTTTTTAAAAACTTAAAATAAATGAGCTGTATAAAAGTGTTGTCTTTTCTAACATATGATCTTAGTGAATGTTTTTTGTACATATAAAGGTTTTAGGAATACTTTAGCCAGATAAGGAAAATGAAAACAATCTTCAGAGTGAAATGTTTTAGAAATGTGAAGGTTAAAATCTTTGATACATGTGAAGGTCGTGTGGTGACTGTTACACATGTGAAGGTCGTGTGGTGACTGTTACACATGTGAAGGTCGTGTGGTGACTGACACACATGTGAAGGTCGTGTGGTGACTGACACACATGTGAAGGTCGTGTGGTGACTGACACACATGTGAAGGTCGTGTGGTGACTGTTACACATGTGAAGGTCGTGTGGTGACTGACACACATGTGAAGGTCGTGTGGTGACTGACACACATGTGAAGGTCGTGTGGTGACTGTTACACATGTGAAGGTCGTGTAGTGACTGACACACATGTGAAGGTCGTGTGGTGACTGTTACACATGTGAAAGTCGTGTGGTGACTGTTACACATGTGAAAGTCGTGTGGTGACTGACACACATGTGAAGGTCGTGTGGTGACTGACACACATGTGAAGGTTTTGTGGTGACTGTTACACATGTGAAAGTCGTGTGGTGACTGTTACACATGTGAAAGTCATGTGGTGACCGACACACATGTGAAGGTTTTGTGGTGAATGTTACACATGTGAAAGTTGTGTGGTGACTGTTACACATGTGAAGGTCTTTTGATGACTGTTACACATGTGAAAATCGTGTGGTGACTGTTACACATGTGAAAGTCGTGTGGTGACTGACACACATGTGAAAGTCATGTGGTGACTGTTACACATATGAAAGTCGTGTGGTGACTGTTACACATGTGAAAGTCGTGTGGTGACTGTTACACATGTTAAGGTTGTGTGGTGACTGATACACATGTGAAGGTCATGTGATGACTGTTACACATTTAAAGGTCATGTGGTGACTGTTACTCATGTAAAGGTTGTGTGGTGACTTTTACATATGTGAAGGTCGTGTGGTGACTGTTACACATGTGAAAGTTGTGTGGTGACTGTTACACATGTGGAGGTTGTGTGGTGACTGTTATACTTGATTTAAACATACTTACAAAACAGGATGGACAGATGAGATATGTAAAAATGAGCATGTCACGGATACTGAAGTGGTGGAGACATTACCAAGCATATGTACACACTATGTACAGTCTCAACCAACAATGTATCCACTTTGTATAAACCTCTCTCTCCAGCACACGTAACAATAGTTAAACTATAAATATACACAAAAAACAAAAGAAAAAATCAATCTTTGTTATACAATTTCATTATAATGATAATAACAATAATTCTTTGCAGACATACAAATTAAAGGAATACGAAGCAAAAGTTCAGCAAATGTATAAGAATTTCTCTGTGGATGATTTGTGTCTGAACGAGCTTGCTTTTTACTCTTTAAATACTCAATGATCCCTAAAATGGAATAAGCTGTGAGAACTACCCCTGTGGGACTGTTGGGTAATAGTTACATTGACTACCTATTTGCGTTGTATTTGGTTTTTGGTATAAAAATAAGCCTCCACATGGCTGCTACACAATGGACACCTTTTGTATACGAGGGGCACGACTGCTAGTCCGATTAGCATTAGAGAAGTTTGGAGTCTGATTAGGAGTGCCCCCCTGCACAGGGGTACCAGGATTAACTGGGGTTCCAGGTGTACCCGGGTTGGATGATTTGGAAATTTGATTGGGCGTATGACTGGGCGTTTGATGTGGTGATGTCACTATTGTTGTACGCCCATCATTTTGGTCCATTGTTAAGAGACGGTCTGTTGTATTACACGAGGATGCTGCAGCTACATAACGTACTTCCACATGGTCGTTTGCTGGGGGTTTACGATCTGGTCGAAATTTACGACGATGGTAGAGTCCACAAATGACTAGAATGATGCAGAAAAAAGATGAAATAGAGGCTCCAATGGCAATGTGGAGAATTTCAAATTTGCCGACAGCAGGACCTGTGAAGACAAAAATAAGATGTTAAACTAATTACCAAGCGTATCTGTGACAGCTAATGTCTGATGGTTACATAAACCTGTCACTGCAATTACATCATATAAATTAGTAAGTTATCACATGACGTCATGACGCCACCCTTTATTCACTGCTGAAGTGTTAATGTCAGCACTTACTACTGCCAATTAGGACTAGTGTTTAACAGACAGGGTCAGTCTCTGGCCACACCAGTATGCTTCATCTCCAGACCAGAATTCATCAAATTATTAGAATTCTACACACAATTCCTTTCTATGGCAAATGAAGCCTGGCATCAATCAAAAGGTATACTTACATACCATTAATACTGAGACAAAATCACACTATATAGTAACAACCTAAACATCATCGTTGATATATTTACAATATGCAGTTACTGAAGCATTGCTAGGAGATGATATCAAATTAATGAATCGGTAAGTTTCTACATATATGTATTTTCCTTATCATTTCCAGTGAAAATACAATTAGGAATGAAGTACAGAGCTGCAAGAAAATATTTGTATATCAACGAGATCTATATATATATATTAGCGGTAACATGTTTTAAGTTTGTACTGATAACTAAATCTACATTGTAAGTAAGTCTAATTATGAATCTATGGAATCTGAACCTAATCAACATTATGCTCAAAAGTTCAGTAATTCTGTAAGTATGAGTAAGTAATTCTGGAGTGTTAAGTCAGTAATTCTGTATACATAAGTAAGTAATTCTGTATATATATATGTTAGTAATTCTGTATATATATATGTTAGTAATTCTGTATATATATGTCAGTAATTCTGTATATATATATGTTAGTAATTCTGTATATATATATGTTAGTAATTCTGTATATATATATATGTTAGTAATTCTGTATATATATATGTTAGTAATTCTGTATATATATGTAAGTAATTCTGTATATATATATGTTAGTAATTCTGTATATATATGTAAGTAATTCTGTATATATATGTTAGTAATTCTGTATATATATGTAAGTAATTCTGTATATATATGTTAGTAATTCTGTGTTAAGTCAGTATATATATGTTAGTAATGCTGTATACATATGTTAGTAATTCTGTATATATATGTCAGTAATTCTGTATATATATGTTAGTAATTCTGAACTGTTAAGTCAGTAATTCTGTATATATATATATGTCAGTAATTCTGTATATATATGTTAGTAATTCTGTATACATATATTAGTAATTCTGTATACATATGTTAGTAATTCTGTATATATATGTTAGTAATTCTGAACTGTTAAGTCAGTAAGTCTGTGTATATGTGTTAGTAATTCTGAACTGTTAAGTCAGTAATTCTGTATACATATGTTAGTAATTCTGTATACATATGTTAGTAAGTCTGTGTATATGTGTTAGTAATTCTGAACTGTTAAGTCAGTAATTCTGTATACATATGTTAGTAATTCTGTATACATATGTTAGTAATTCTGTATACATATGTTAGTAAATCTGTATATATATGTTAGTAATTCTGTATACATATGTTAGTAATTCTGTATACATATGTTAGTAATTCTGTATATATATGTTAGTAATTCTGAACTGTTAAGTCAGTAAGTCTGTGTATATGTGTTAGTAATTCTGAACTGTTAAGTCAGTAAGTCTGTGTATATGTGTTAGTAATTCTGAACTGTTAAGTCAGTAAGTCTGTGTATATGTGTTAGTAATTCTGAACTGTTAAGTCAGTAAGTCTGTGTATATGTGTTAGTAATTCTGAACTATATAAGTCTGTGTATATGTGTTAGTAATTCTGAACTGTTAAGTCAGTAAGTCTGTGTATATGTGTTAGTAATTCTGAACTGTTAAGTCAGTAATTCTGTATACATACGTTAGTAATTCTGTATACATATGTTAGTAATTCTGTATACATATGTTAGTAATTCTGTATACATATGTTAGTAATTCTGTATACATATATTAGTAATTCTGTATACATATGTTAGTAATTCTGTATATATATGTTAGTAATTCTGAACTGTTAAGTCAGTAAGTCTGTGTATATGTGTTAGTAATTCTGAACTGTTAAGTCAGTAAGTCTGTGTATATGTGTTAGTAATTCTGAACTGTTAAGTCAGTAAGTCTGTGTATATATGTTAGTAATTCTGAACTGTTAAGTCAGTAAGTCTGTGTATATGTGTTAGTAATTCTGAACTGTTAAGTCAGTAAGTCTGTCTATATGTGTTAGTAATTCTGAACTGTTAAGTCAGTAAGTCTGTGTATATGTGTTAGTAATTCTGAACTGTTAAGTCAGTAAGTCTGTGTATATGTGTTAGTAATTCTGAACTGTTAAGTCAGTAAGTCTATGTATATGTGTTAGTAATTCTGAACTGTTAAGTCAGTAAGTCTGTGTATATGTGTTAGTAATTCTGAACTGTTAAGTCAGTAAGTCTATGTATATGTGTTAGTAATTCTGAACTGTTAAGTCAGTAAGTCTGTGTATATGTGTTAGTAATTCTGAACTATAGTCAGTAAGTCTGTGTATATGTGTTAGTAATTCTGAACTGTTAAGTCAGTAAGTCTGTGTATATGTGTTAGTAATTCTGAACTGTTAAGTCAGTAAGTCTGTGTATATGTGTTAGTAATTCTGAACTGTTAAGTCAGTAAGTCTGTGTATATGTGTTAGTAATTCTGAACTATCGAGTCAGTAAGTCTGTGTATATGTGTTAGTAATTCTGAACTGTTAAGTCAGTAAGTCTGTGTATATGTGTTAGTAATTCTGAACTGTTAAGTCAGTAAGTCTATGTATATGTGTTAGTAATTCTGAACTATCGAGTCAGTAAGTCTGTATACATATGTTAGTAATTCTGAACTATCGAGTCAGTATCATTCAAATTAGAAATTCAACCTATTGTTACTACTGTAAAATCTTACTTTCATTGGTCTCAAGTTTCATATTTTCCAAAAATACACATTTTTGTCTCCATTTGGATTTCTGGTTAAATCTTGTTTCTATGGCTATTTTTATCTGTTTGTTATTTTGTGGACATGATAATTTTGTGGAATCTGAGTACTCACGAATGCAATGAAAATAAATCCCCACAAAAAAAGATGATTTACAGTATGGATTAATTCTGTAACTATTCTAGTTAAGTACTAATTTAGATGTTAGTAAACACCTGCAATAAGTTAGAGATTAATAGAGCACTTGCTTACTTAACATTCAGATTTGATAACTGGAAAAATGACGTAAGTTACACATGAAAGTCGTATATTAAAACAAAAATCTTTCCGAAATAATTTCTTAGACATAGTCACAGAACATAAATCTCTTTCATTTCAGATTGAAAAAACCGAAATCTCTAACACTACGGATTCACAAATTAGCAGCTTCTTATTAATTGCAAACACAAAACAGAAATCTCCTAAACTACAGATTCACTAACACTGTCAAACTTCTTACTGACATCAAAGAAATTTCTCTTACATTTTATTTTCACAAAATAGTTTACTATAGACATAAAAGGAAATCTCTTTCACTAGAATAGACCATGGACATTTCTTACAACTACCATACAGACACTGGCTATTACAAGCTGGAGGTGACCATACTGACACTGGCTATTACAAGCTGGAGGTGACCATACTGACAATGGCGATTACAAGCTGGAGGTGACCATACTGACACTGGCTATTACAAGCTGGAGGTGACCATACTGACAATGGCTATTACAAGCTGGAGGTGACCATACTGACAATGGCTAACTGTTGACTAACAAATTGAATCTATAATGGTCTTCATTCTAATCGATCCTGTTCTCCCTCTGGACATCTGGCGTGCGAAACTTACATCAGTTAAGGTGGCCATCCATATAATTTACGTTCTCATTTCCGACTGATTGCAGTTACAAGTTATTTTTTATTTCAAGGTCGAATGAATTTGTCCCCAAGAAAACAGTAATCTGGATCTGATTTAAATGACGAAGATATTTGTTGCATCTCTGGTTTAGCCTTCAGCAGATGCAAATCCATAACGTGCCTTGTTTTGAAAAAAAAAGCTTCTGGTCATACCTATAACCTTGACCTATGGTGACCCGACCTTTGGTGACCCAGGTTGCTTTACATATTAAAATGTTATTGTGTCACAACAAGATTGTGACTTTGCAGTAGATGGTAGATATGGAGATGTCTATATTACTAACATCTCGTGAGGTAGACCATGATATAAGCAGATAATTCAGTAGAATCTGACTTGATTTCCCAGGTACAGTATCAATGTTAATCAATCAGACTGTCAGAGGCCGACCAGCGTGACCTTTAATGTAACAAACATCTGTACCAAGGTACCACCAGGGACAACATCACAAGTAATCAGATTCAGGTGTACATCTCCTGTGAAATTGTCTTTTCTTTTAAATAATATGATCTGAAGTGCCAAAAAGAATATAATTTGATTTCCAACAGGCCTGGATGATCACTGGAATGGCAGATCTTCTCCATTTGTTACATGTTTCTCGTACTTGTAATTATGATGAGGAAGTGAAAGATGAAAATAATTGTACGAGTAAAACAACACTTCAGCAGTCAATGACAAATTACTATCTGCCCCTAAGTAAATGGTGCATTATTACTTCTGGTCATGAATAAATCACAAACTGTCATGAAAAAAAAATTTGTATAATTAATTGTTTAACTATTCTATACCACTGGAATGGTATTTAATGTTAGTTTTTCAGTACTATACATAAAATGGTATACATCAGACAGGAGTGGTATATAAGTGTTAGTCTCTCAGTATGATACATAAAATGGTATACACCAGACTGGAGTGGTATATAAGTGTTAGTCTCTCAGTACGATACATAAAATGGTATACATCAGACTGGAGTGGTATATAAGTGTTAGTCTCTCAGTACGATACATAAAATGGTATACATCAGACTGGAGTGGTATATAAGTGTTAGTCTCTCAGTACGATACATAAAATGGTATACATCAGGCTGGA